CATGTTCACAGTGGCACAGTTTGTAATAGCTAAAGCTTGGAAGCAGCCCAAGTGCCCATCAACTGGAGACTGGATAAAGAAAATGTGGGTTTTTTTTAGAAGTTCCTTTTTAATGGTTCCTTTACTCCACTTCTCTGTCCCTACCCAACCCCATCTCCTGGAGAAGTGTGCAGCGGTCTCTCTGGGCTCCTGGCCTCAGGCATCAGGCATCTGGGATGTGCCTGTCCAGCAAGATGAATACCTAGTCTCCCTGGACCTCATGCTCAGCGTGTTGGCTTCTGGATGCTGCATTTGTGCTCTTGCAGAGGCCAAGCAGTGGTCAGACTGGAGAGAATAAGAAGGTAGAGATTGCCAGTCTTCACAAAAATAAAGTGCTAAGTATAAAGTTGGGAAAGAGAGAGAAATATCCATGAGTGTTTAGAAGTTCTAGGGGCTCTGAGCAGCCGTAAGAGTTGGAGAAAAGAAGAAAGGGAGTGGTTGGGAAATGTGGCTTTGCTTTTTGATCAGATCATTTTATTCTTCTCAATAGCTAAATGGAGAGCCAGGGGAGGCACATACCTATAATCCCAGCACTTAGGAGGCTGAGGCAGGAGGATTCCCACAAGATTGAGGGCAATCTGGGCCACATAGTGAGACCTTGTCTCAAAACAAACAAAAAGATAACTAAATAGATATGAGAAGCATTTTTAAAATTAGCTTAAATTATTTCTCCTGTGTGTGTGTGTATGTGTGTGTGTATTGTTTTGTTTTTGGAGAATGATAATGTGCAGATCCCAGACTTCATGGGAATGTAATCAGGATTTATTCAGGTTACCTTAGAAGAACATAATAAGTAATCAATACCTTGATATAAAATATTTCAATATTTACCATTCTCCAAAGTACATACTTAAAAGAGAACTACAAGCCAGGTGCAGTGACACATGCCTGTTGTTCTAGCTACTTTGGTGCTGAGACATAAGGATCCAAGTTGCAGGTCATCCGGGGCAACTTTTTAAATTTATGTATTTGTTGCACTACTAGGGGTTGAACCCAGGGCCTTTGCACTAAGCCACATTCCCAGCCCTGTTTTTATTTTTTAATATTGAAACAAGGTCTCACAAAATCACGAAGTTTCAGAGGCTGTACTCAAACTTTTGATCTTCCTGTCTCAGCTCCCCAGAGTGCTAGGATTACTCACTTGTGCCATCATGACCAGCTCAGCCAGGGCAAGTTAGCAAACCTTGTCTCAAAATGAAAAATAAAAAGGGTTGTCAGCTGGGTGTGGTGGCACATGCCTGTAATCCCAGCGCTCTGGGAGGCCGAGACAGAAAGATTGCAAATTCAAATCCAGTCTGGACAATTTATCAAGACCCTGTATGCAAAAATAAATAAATAAATAAATAAATAAATAAATAAATAAATAAATAAATAAATGGCTGGAGATGTAGCTCAGTGTGAAGGCTTTGAGTTCAATTCCCAGTATACCCCCCACCCCAACATAAAGAAGGGGTGTAGCTCAATGGTAAAGTGTCCCTGGATCCAATTTCCAGTACCAGGGGGAGAGAGAGAGAGTGAGAGAGAGAGAGAGGGAGGGAGACGAGGGGGAGACAGACAGACAGACAGACAGACAGAGAATGAATTCCAATGACAAAAGGCCCTAAATGAATGTGTGACAGCAGAATTTCAGAGGTCATGGTACAGTCTGATGGTAGGAGGTTAGCATGTGTGAAACTGTGAGTTCAATCCCCAGCAGAAAGAAACAAAAGCAAAAACAGAAAATGCAAAACAACAACCACCAAACGAAAGTCTGTCTCCTGTCTAATTTATATTATTTTCCTGGCTTCTGGTTCCTGGGGTCAGCCGTGTTCCTCCTTCAGAATTTATATCTGGTACTTGGTGATTGAGGTAATAAATCTTTAATTACATATTTATCTTGGAAAGAAGAACTCTGCTGTCCTGCTTTCTCTCAAGCAGGAAGGGGTACCCACCAGAGAGCACTGCACCTGTAGCCCTCACACCTGTGAGCAGAGTCCACGACTTCCCACAAGGTCAAGACTTGAAGCCTGTACCACAGTCAGCCACTTTCACTCAGCCTTGTCTCTCCTCTTGACTTCCTGGCACATCCTCTTCTCTCCAGATTGTATGTGTTTGCTTGGGCTGAAATAAACACAGTAGGATTTTGCTTGCTTATTTGTGTTGCAGAATGAGGTTTGAAAGGGGCCAATCTTGATCCTGCAGGGGCCAGAGGGAAGTGGCATGGAGGGTGAAGTAAAAGGGGGACTTGTGTGGGAACTGACTTCCTCCTGAAAAGCCTGGGACATCCTTTTCCGCCAACTCTGGGGCCAGTCCCTTGACATGTTCTCCTCAGAGCAGGGCGTCCCATGGCCTGCACGGAGACTGGTGAACACACACAGAGCTCTGTCTGGTGACAGATTGGGTCTGCAAACTCTGGCAGCCTGCGTGGCTGATGGCAGAGTGTCGAGTTTGTTCTGGCTGTCTCCCTGGAGTCCCTCTGTAGACGCAGGTGCACGTCAGCGCCTGCTCTAATTTTATCCTCAGTTGATGGAAGAGACTAACTGAGCAGCAGGGAGGCTGCTATTTTGGGTCTCTCCACAGCTCTGGGTTATATAAAGCCTATTGCTGTGACCTGCATTGCTTTGAGGCTATGCCTCACTCTCTTGCGCGTTCTGTCACAATATGTCATCAGCTCAGACATTCATACACACATACCCAGTTCCCGTGGGGAATGAGAGGGGAGGTGTGTGCTGCAGGAGTGTGTGTGTGTGTTCCTGCTAGCTCGCTGAGGGACAGGCCTGCATATGCTCCCGGGAGAGGGCATTGTACGTGAAGGAGGTTTGTTCTGGAAGGAAATGGAAAGAGCTTTCTGCTGGAGGAATGTGAGGGTATGAGCTCTAGCTTCAGGACACAGTGTGTTTCTGAGCTGCTGTTGTGGGTCTGCTGTTGGCATGGCGATACGAACAATTTCTATTTCAGCAACTCTTTTCATTTCAAAGGAACCCAAGGGGTTCATAAATTATACACAAATGACTCTGCCTTTGGATGGCAGGAATTTTTCATCTGAAATTAGGATCAGCAGCTACAGGAACAAACATGATGGTTTGAATTTAGGGGTGGCTGGATGGCAGAAGATGGCATTTCCTATATTATGAGGGACAAATCTCACCTGAAAATTTTTTCCATACAGATCAACACACCCTCATGGTGTTTGTTTGTTTTTTGGTATGGGGAATTGAACTCAGGACCTTCCTCTTACAATTAACTTTATTTTTTTTTTCCAGTACCAGCAATTGAACTCAGGACCTTGTGCTTGCAAGGCAGGTGTGGTGCCACTGAGCTAAATCCCCAGCCCAGGACCTTCCTCTTGTGAGGCAGGTGTGGTGCCACTGAGCCAAATTCCCAGCCCTGTTTGTTTGTTTTTGAGACAGGTTCTCGATATGTAGTTCAGGCTGGCCTCGAACTTGTGGCGATCCTCTTGCCTCAGCCTCTTTAGTGCTGGAACTTACAGGCATATGCCACCATGCTTGGCAAAACATCTCATGTTGCTGATATTTCGTTTAAAGACATGTGCTTGCTTGATTTAATCATGTATGATATCTAATTTATTTTTGTGTCTCCCAGCATTGAGTCTTAATATTTTTAGCTATATAATTTTTTTTTTTTTTTTTTGTACCGGGGATCAAACTTGGGTCCTTGTGCTTGCGCAGCAGGCAGCAAAACCACTGACCTAAATCCCCAGCCCTTTAGCTATATAAATTTTGATAGATGAACATATAACATAACCCAAATATAACATAATTCATTATTCTATGAATTTGAAAGTACTATGCTTCTCAGAATATATTTTGTTCCTGCAGAGTAAGTGTAGCAGTTCATTGAGCTTATCATGCAGGTATGTGCCCTGAACCCCATTACCATCAGGGGAAGGGACATGTCCTGTACTTGGTGAGCTACATGGCTTCCCATATATACTGTCCAGGGCACTCTCTGGCTGACATGATGGAACACATAAGGTATTGCCCTTGGGGATGATGGGTTGGCAGTGCACACCTTGGCTCTTGGAGCTGCCAGAATGTGAGGCCCGAGGCTGGTGCTCATGTTGCTGATTCGGTTCCCAGCATTCCAGAAGTCATCGAGGGTGGGTTTCCCATAACTAGTAACTTGACTGAGGTGCTGTTCCCTAGCTGCTCTTTAAAAGGCACTGATGGCTTTTCTCTTGCACTGGTCAAAGCACTTCTAAGGGATTTGGGGGAAAAAAACGAGGAGCTTTTCATGAAGAAGACCAGAAGAGTCTGGCAGCTAGCTGCAGGAGGCTGAGAGGAGATGGCTCCGTAGAGAGTCTACAGAAGGGAGCTGCTAAAGGAAGAAGGAAAGGGAAATGATCCAGAGTCAAAGACAGGGCTTCTAGGGGCCCGATAGGGAAATGAAGCCAGGAATGGGGAAGGTATAGATGAATCACTGTGTGCATTTATTAATAATTGACCTGAGTGGAACCTTCCCCACCCTCCTCCTGGCCAGGGTGGGTGCTCACCACTCTGGCTCCTTGGTAGTCTGCTTGCTGCCTTCTAACCCCCATCCACTCTGCTCTCAGAGTCCCCTTCACAAACACAGATCTGCTGGTTACACTGGAGAGACCTCCTCAGTGGCTGTTGCCTTCTCTCTCTGGGAAACACCCAAATGCTCTGGCAGGCAGACAAGGGCCTCTGAGATCTGGGGTCTGCTTACCTCTCTGGCTTAGTTCCCACTGCAACCCTCCCAACTCTTCCCTCTGTGGACCACTCCTTCTGCTGCCACTCCTTGGTGCCTTGAGCTGAATGTGCTAAACTTGACTGTCTTGTGTGTGTTTGCCTGGATTGCTCTCTCTGCCTGCAAAGCCTTTCCTACCCACCCAACGCCATCCTTAAGCTTTGTTAAGGCCTCAACTCAAGCAAGTTCTGTTAACCTCTCCAGGCCTGGATCACGTGCCTCTCCCCTGGCATCCTGTGCCCCTCTGCAGGAAGCTTAAATGCTCTGTGTCTGTCCTGCCTAGGCTGTGGGCTTCCAGAGGACAAGGATTGTGTAATTTCTCACCTAGCCCACTGCTCAGGCTGCCTCAAGAGTGTTTGTTGAATGAATGCCTGAATTTGGACAGAAGCCACGTTTTAGAACTAAAGTTTCTTCCAATGTCATGAGAAATGGGGTTTGTAGGAAATGTCAGTGAAGTTGAAAAACAAAGACTAGGACCTGGGAAGTCTGACTGTAAATAAAAGTATTAGGCCTACAACCATCTATCTCTAAAGTCAGAAATAAGGGAGCATAGCATAGACCTGGGCTGGTCTACTCTACTAGCATGTCACACAGGTAGGACTGTTGAGCGACACCCATCCAACATGAAGACAGCTCTCAGCAGTCTGAATCTTCCCTACAGCTTATGGCAGCCTTCCATTTCTGGACCCCATCCCACCAAGCATCTGTGGGAGTGGGAAGGAGTTTTCCACAGGGACCTCAGTATCCTTCTTGGAAGGCCAATGGCCTCCATCCAGGTCTTTCTCCTGGTTCCACCAAGGAACTGCCGAGCCAGCCGAGGCTGCCATGGCCAGAACCTCACAGCCCCATCACACTGGACTGACTGCTCCCTCTGCCTCGGCCACACCCTCAAGGACTGGGTACAGGAGGGAATCCAGGAGCCCAAGCACCTAATACTTGACGAATTAAATAAGGCCACTTTGGGTCATGGAATCCAGCTCAGCAGTCTTGGTGGTAGCTGATACTGGTGTTTTTGAGGAAAGAGACAGGACCGAAGGAAGTCTCACTATAAATCAGCTCCAATTCACGGTGAGAAGGTACTTAATTAAATCCCTGATACACCCTTCATGTAGGAAATAATTTTTAATAAGATGGCCAACCATCCTTAATTCATCTATTTTAATATTTGCATTTTCATCTTTTGGGCTTTATTGAAGTAGGGCCCATTTTTCTGTTCTTTCATGTCATCATTTCTTCAAATATTTTCATTTAACACTATGTTGAAAACTAAATATTGCTGTTCCAAACACACACACACACACACACTCACACACACACACACACACACACACGTTTTTCTAAGTCTTCTGTCTTGTTCTCAGAGCTGTCCCCACGAAAATGGAATAACAGTGATATTTACCTAGGAATACACTGGCTAAGGGAGAGGTGGGAACATAGCTAGCATTTCCTGGGAAGCTTTCAGAATTTTAAGCAGTTCTTTTTTCAGCTCACGGATCCTGACAGACACACAGCCTGCTGTGACAGAGAGGGAACAGGAGAGGGCCTGTGTGAATGGGAGCCTGGACAGGAGAGCAGACAGCTGACGGCAGGGGCATAGCTTTTGAGCAGCTGCAGTGGTCGGAGTGGCTCCCCCTGAGTGAGATGACGTGGAGCCACTGAGGGGAAGGAGAGAAGATTCCATAGCTGATGACGGGGACAAGGAGGAGAAGGGACTTGGTACACACACAGCGGGTGGGTATTAAGGGGATTATGTGTATTAGACAGTGTTACTATCACCCACAAAGGCATGTGCTGTAACTGCCAAAAAAACTAATAATGCATTGGATTATTATCCAGGGATGAGAACAAGTTAAAACAAAATATTCTGTGCTCAACATGTATGCTATTTCCAAATCAGTAGCACATTTATAGGAATTGGTAAGGGAGGAGCTGTACAGGATCGCATATTGTCACCTAATGTAACCTCTTTTTAAAAGTCATACACCAATAAAAAACCCCCAAAACAAACAAATAAAAAAGTCATATACCTGGCTCTTCACTTATTATGCTTAATTTAATACTTAGTGAGTGCTCACAACTGCATCCCTCAGCTCAGGTAATCCTGACTGTAGCAGGTAAGTGCTCTTTGTATCTCCATTTTACAGAGGGGCAAATGAAACCAGAGAGACTCATGTGCCCAAGGCCACACCACTAGTAAATGTCCCAGCTAGGATCTGAACCTAGGCAGGATGGCTCTGGATCCCAAACTTGTAATTACCACTCTATACCATCTTTTTTCTTTTCTTTAGTTTTTTTGAAACAGTCTCAGTCTAATTCAGGCTGGCCTTGAACCCACTATGTAGCCCAGGCTGGCCTTGAAGTCATGGGGATCTGCCTGCCTCAGCCTCCCAAGT